TTGGCAAAACTGGCAATTTCACCGAGGTGCTGCAATCATTCAGACAGCATTGGTTAACTTGTTAACTCCAGATCACTAAAAACGTGCTGCTTTACAACTACTAGTATTATTCAACAAATCCACAGGCTGCTCTCCTTTGTACAAAAACAACACTTCTAGTACAAACTACCCAAAATGAGCAATGTATTTGCAAAGTGGCCTAAAAGCATTAGAGAAGACCAAATGGTAAAGGACTAATATTGAAAATAGCACAATAAAAACTGAAATAAAGAGGCCTAAAGGTCAGTGTACATCCTTAGGCTTTTCAAATATATAATTTCTGGCCTTCCCCAAAGGTTGAATCAAACTATGCTGGATAAGCTGTATGACTCCTTCCTGAATGAGCTTAGCTGCCCATTCATAAGGATTTGCTTGGACACATTCGTGGAAAATGGAAATATTCTAAAATACAGGTTTATAATACAGAGCTTTTGGCTCTGGCCTCTTGGCAGAGCAGCAGAGGCACAGGCTGGGAGAGAGTGCTGAGTGGCCAGGGGACTGGCGAAGGCAAGGTAGGAGCTGGGCAGAAAAGCAGAGGGCCAGAAGCAGCAGAGAGGAAGGGGAGCGGGGCCAGAAAGGCTAGAGGAGCCAGGAGGAAGCGGACAGGCGGGGCCACCGGCCTGAGGGACTGATAAGGCGTCATCCTTTGTTTGCGTCCCTTAGCTGTGGCCCAGGCTGTCCAGGGACTCCCTTCCCTGGGACGCAGGGGTTTTTTTTTTTTTTTTTTGTGATGTGCTTTGCTTTGTTTTTCCTCCAACTTAAATTTAAGTTTATTTTATAAATTTAAGTTTATTTTATCCTTGTGTGTGTGTGTGTGCAAGTGGTTTTTGTCTGGGAGAACTGGGCGAGTGAGAGGAACTGCAGGACAAACAAGGCAGGGGACCAAGGTAAGGTCCCGGAAGGGATCCCAATGGCAGACCAGGAGATGGCCTTGGCGGGAGTCACGGGTGTTGCTGTCTGCTGCGACATGTTCGCCCTTCTCCCCCAGGGGAGGCAGGGTTACACTTGCCCTTGGTGCAAGATGGTGACCCTGCTAGAAGAGGAGGTGAGGTGCCAGAGGGCCGAGAGAGCTCTCCAGCCCCCCACCACGAGCAGCCCCCCTCTGGACGGAGGGTTGAAGGAGAGGCCATGGGAGGAGCAACCGCGGAGACATGGAGGTATGTCACCCACAGGAGGAGGAGGCCAGCATGGCCTCCTCCTCCTCCAGGCACCAATCTGGAGCTGGAAAACAGGTTCTCTCCACTTGGGCCTCGGGGGACCAGCAGGACCACCAGCCTGGGACGACAAGCAGCAAGGGGGGTGCTGCAGGAGAGGCGAGGGCCAGGGCATGGCCACCCACCACCACCGGGAAGACACGGCGGTGGGTAATTGTTGTTGGGGACTCCCTGCTGAGGGGCACTGAGGCGGCGGTGTGCCACCCCAACCTGGAGACAAGGGAGGTTTGCTGCCTGCTGGGCGCACGCATCCGGCATGTGAAGGACAGAGTGGAGCATCTTGTTCGCTCCGGAAGTCACCAGCCGCTCCTGGTGATCCATGTGGGCACAAATGATGTGGCCAGGCAGGGTGTGGTTGGGACCACCAGGGACTTTGAGGCCTTTGGGAAGAAACTCAGGGAGCTGAAGGCCCAAGTGGCCTTCTCGTCAATCTTACTGGTCCGGGGATTTGGGCCAGGAAGGGACAGGAGGGTCTCTGAGGTGAACGACTGGCTTCGGGTGTGGTGCCAGAAGGAACACTTCGGGTTCCTCGACCATGGCACTCGGTTTCTTGCCAATGGACTTCTGGCAAGGGATGGGTTACACCTCACGAGGATGGGGAAAAGGTTCTTCGGAGATGCTCTAGTGAGCTTCATCTGGAAGACTTTAAACTGAGCCAGGGGGAGGGGAGTTCAGGCCCCCCAGAAACGTGTCTGCACTGGACAAGTGTGGGGAGAGGATCAGGGCTCTGGGAGCAGGGTTTTAGAGGTACTGCAGGGACTGACAGGACTCCTACAGAGAGGGGCCAGGTATCACGGAGGATGGGAGGAAGGAGGAGGCTGGGAAGTCCAAGGAAAGGAAGCAGTGGGAAGGAGTTGAGGTGCATGTACACCAATGCTAGGAGCATGGGTAATAAGCAGGAAGAGCTTGAAGCTCTCCTGGGAATAGGAGGGTATAACTTGGTGGGATGAAAGGCAAGTCTGGAATGTGAACATAGAAGGGCATCACCTTTTCAGAAAGGACAGGAAAGGAAAGAGGTGGGGGCGTGGCTTTATACGTCAGGGAAGGGATAGGATGCAGCACAGATGGGGATTCGGTAGAGGCAGTCTGGGTGAAACTTAGGGGTTTTGACAGGGAAAGAGACCTGACAGTGGGGGTATATTATCACCCTTCAGGTCAACCTGAGTCCCTGGATGATGTCCTGACAGGCCAGATTCTAAGGATATCTGGGGGGAGAGACACAGTAATTATGGGAGATTTCAATCTCCCAGATATTACTTGGGAGACTCACTCAGCGGTGACAGCCAGGTCACGTCGCTTCCTAGAAGCTATAGAGGGAGGGTTTTTCACACAGAGGGTCCGAGAGGTGACGGGGGGGGGGGGGGGGAACATCCTTGACTTGGTCTTGACCAATAGGGAGGAGCTGATAGATGTAATACAGATTAGGGGAGCTCTGGATGTGAGTGATCACTCCATTCTTTGTTTTGAGATCAGGGGACTGGGGACGTGCAGCAGGTCGAGCACTAGAAGCTGGGACTTCCAGAGGGCCAACTTTGGCCAACTGAAGGCCAGACTGGGGAAAGTCTCCTGGGATAGGTTACTGGAAGGTAAGCGAGTTGAGGAGGGGTGGATGGCACTCAAAAGGGAGGTTTTGGAGGCGCAAGCCTTGACAATACCTTTAGTCAGTAAGGTAGGGAGGCGGAGAAGAGTGCCGCCATGGATGCAAAAGGAGGTGGTTAGAGGGATTAGACGAAAGAGGAACCTCCATAGGAAATGGCTACTGGGGCAAATAAACAAAAGGGTATACCAGGAGGAGGAGGCCCGTTGCAGAAGGATTCTTCACAAGGTTAAGGCTGATTATGAGCCGAGACTTGCCAAGAATATCAAGAGCAACAAAAGGGGCTTCTTGCAGCATGTATACAGGAAGAGGAAGGGGAGACAAGTGGTGGGACCACTAAATAAGGAGGAAGGAGATCCAGTGACTGATATGAGAGAACAGGCACAGATGCTAAATGACTATTTTGCCTCTGTGTTCTCCCCAAAGCAGGACGGGGGATATAGGCATAGGAGATTAGATGAGGCTGGGTTCTTAGGGGCACAGATTAGAGTCACCCCCCTTGAAGTTGAGGGGCTCCTCAGGGCATTGGACATTACAAAGGCGCCAGGCCCTGACGGGTTACACCCGAGAGTACTTAGAGAGCTGGCAGGGGTTCTCCCACGTCTCCTGGCCTCCATTTTTGAGGCCTCGTGGAGAACGGGTGAAGTTCCAGAGGACTGGAGGGTGGCATCAGTGGTCCCAATTTTCAAAAAGGGTAGTAGAAGGGACATGGGGAACTAAAGACCTGTTAGCCTTACGTCCATTGTAGGAAAAACAATGGAAAAGCTCATAATAGAGAGAGATCTAGTGATGCTAGATAGGGAAGGGAGGCTGACAGCCACACAACACAGCTTCCGCAAAAACAGGTCCTGCCAGACAAACCTTGTGGAATTCTATGACAAGGTTTCGAGATGGCTAGATGGAGGGGATGCAGTGGATGTGGTATACCTGGATTTCAGCAAGGCCTTTGACAAAGTGTCCCATGATATCCTGGTGGAGAAACTGAGGAGTTTTGCGATACACCAAAGCACTGTCCAGTGGATTAGGGCACGGTTGACTGACCGAAAGCAGAAGGTAACCATTAGCGGGGAATCATCGGGATGGCCGCCAGTGACAAGTGGGGTCCCCCAGGGCTCTGTCCTGGGGCCGATCCTGTTTAACCTTTTCATTAATGACATGGAAGAAGGGGTGAACAGTCAGCTGATCAAATTCGCAGACAACACTAAAACTGGAGCAGTGGCCACAACTGAGGAGCAGGTACTCCAGATCCAAAAGGATCTGGACAGACTATGGAAGTGGGCAGGAGAAAACAGGATGGCGTTCAATGTGGATAAGTGCAAGGTCTTGCACCTGGGGCATAGGAATAGCTGTCATAAGTACAGGTTAGGTGACAAGTAGCTGGAGAGCGGCACTTGTGAAAGGAATCTCAGAGTACTGGTCGACTGCAGGCTAAACTTGAGTCAGCAGTGTGATGCAGTGGTCAAGAGGGCAAACGCCACCCTTGGTTGCATAGCCAGAAGTGTGGCTTCTAGATTAAGAGAGGTATTACTACCACTCTATACGACTCTGGTGCGCCCGCAACTGGAGTATCGTGCTCAGTTTTGGGCCCGCATTACAGAAAGGATATAGTCAGGTTAGAGTCAGTGCAGCGTAGGGCCACAAGGTTGGAGGAGAGACTGAGAGAACTGGGTCTCTTCAGCCTGGAGAAGAGGGGACTCAGAGGGGATATGTTGGCGACATACAGGTATGTGAGGGGATGTCACGTGGAGATGGGTAGAGACCTGTTCTCCCCTGCAGAGGAAGGCAGGACGTTCTCCAACGGAGCAAAGCTCAGGGAGCCAAGGTTCCATTTGGATGCCAGGAAGCATTTCCTGACAGTTAGGACCTCGAGGGTGTGGAATGGGCTTCCACGAGAGGTCGTCGAGGCCCCATTGGTGCGGGTGTTCAAGGATAGGCTGGACATGCACATGGTGGGCATGTCATGAGCAGGGTCGGCTGGTGCTGGAGGTCAGACTAGATGGCCCGGGAGGCCCCTTCTGACTTGCTCTGTTTCTATAATGTTTATCAAATCCACTTTGTTTGAAATTAGTTAGGAGAAAAGAGTTAGAATATTCTCAGTTGACCAAATTTAAAGTAATACACCTAACCAATATAAAATGAAGTTTACTTACCTCCATGACAACAAAATATCTTTTCATCTACAATGGCTGCAATAGGCAGACAATTAAAGCAGTCTGTAAATGTCTTCCAGAGCTTGATATTAAATCGCCGTTTACCTGATAGGATTAAAAGAATAATATTTTATACATCCTTTGCTGTATTGCACACTACAGCATGGCCATTCAAAATGGCAATATAGATCACCTAAATCTAGCGATTACTAAAGTGGGAAGTTGTTTAAAAGGATAGACTGCACAATTTGAAGGTTGCCAAAACACTATTTTAAGCCACCCAAGCAAGTTTTTCCTAATAGGTTTCAAAAAAGAACAGACATTTCATAAAATGGGTAAACACATTTATAGCAATTTTTACTTACATTCATCGTAGAATCCATAGATGCGATTAATACTAGCACACTCATGGTTTCCTCTCAGGAGGAAAAAATTCTCTGGATATTTGATTTTATATGCAAGTAATAAGCAAATGGTTTCCAAGGATTGTTTGCCTCTGTCCACATAATCCCCCAGAAAAAGATAGTTGGCTTCAGGTGGAAATCCCCCATATTCAAACAATCGAAGTAAATCTGTGTATTGGCCGTGAATGTCACCTAAAAAAATGAAATTGCATATAGTATGAAGCTACAAACTGACTCTGTCTCAGATGTCTTGGCGATGAAATACTCAGTTCTAGGGCTAAGACAAAGATCTTTCCTCATTCATTTTTCACCTTAAATTATAATGCATATACTTTTCTGTTAGTCAGAAAGCAAGCCATTTTTCTACCACAGTATTTCAGTCTAACAAAAGTAAACAAGTGAACCTGTGTTAAGCAGGGATGTTCTACAAAAAATCTAATTTGTATTAAAAGGGCACCTGCTCCTCCTGCAAATACTTTAGGAGGCTCTTTACCAAAAAAAACCTGCAAAGTGTATAATTGTTGAATTCCATATAGGAAGCACAGAAAACAAGTTAGTGTGCATGCCTGTTTGATAGACCAGTATTTGAATACACCGAACAAAAGCAGAGTTCTACCAAACCTGTATATCAAGTACAACTTAAAGCTAGACTTAAGAAGGAATGTAACTGTTAGCATGGTGCTGTAACCATGTCTCCCTGGAACACCCTCCCACCCCCACCCCCAGTCTGAACAATTGAACTTTAAGGATTTAGGAGTACTTTTTTAGGCTCTTTCCCTAATAACAATGGACAAACAGCTTGAAAATAACTTCAGAAAAGTAAAGCATTTTATCATTTTTTCTTGATGTTTAAATTGCTTTAATGGAATGGGAAATACTTAAACCTATGATTAGTAATTACAGATTAAATGTAATTATCTATCTTTCTCTAAGTTAATGGGAAATTTAGCAAGAGTACTTAGGGTATATTGCTCAATATGCTAACGTTTGTGAAAAACTAAAACATTCCAGTTGGGTAAGCACACATTTTTATATTAAATGTAATTGCTGCTCTTCATATCTTAGTATTTGAATACATTTGTTATGCAAATTTAAAGGGTTTTCTTCATTAGCAAATACTAGGATTACCCCAAACATCAGCACACATACCACAGATTTTTAGTGGTGCCTCCAGCTCCAAAAGGATTGGCTGGCTAAGGAATATTTCTCGTGATTTTATACACAAGCCCCGAACTTCAGCTTCTGTCATCTGTACAATCTTGCCAGGACGACATCCTCGCACTGAAAGACAAATAAATGCTTGTAAATTTTAAGTCTCTGAAACTATGACAAGGAAACCCACTGAAGCTAATGGTGTTATAAATACTTGCTGTCCTAATAACCGAACAAATCTCTATGGAGGAAAACATATGTTCAGTTATCTATGCTAAACAACTGCAACAAGCAAAAGCTCCGATTAAAAACAAATCTTTGCAGTCACTGAAGGAACTGAAAGTGTTTTTTCTAAAACATGTTACTCCTACTCTAGATTAGCAAGTTACCCTCATCATGAGATTGTTTGCATTTCTGATTAAATGCTAAGCACATTTCAGTTGGTTGAAGATCATGTTAAGCCCAATGTGTTTTACATTCAGAAATAAGCACTACCAGTATCAATTCCCAATTTTAAGTATTTGTCATGAGGTTTTCCTCCCCTGCCACCCCAGCCCCCAGTTAAGTGGCTGACAAGAGGCCTTTGACCATTCAGTTCCAGAAACAGAAGAAACAAAATAAGCATCACTGAATTCCAGAAGGAGGGCTTCTGTTCTGAGAAGCTCTGCCTGACCCCTGGCAACAAGCACCTTCTTCCTCAATAGAGAGATTTGTCACTACCGCGAGTGTTTTATCACTGTATTGCAAGGAAACTAAACGCTCTCCCTTTCCCATATTTAAGAATGGGAAATTAAGCACTGTTTGTGAAAACATCTAGTCCCAAACAAAATGAGTCTGAATGATTTCTGTTGCCAGGACTAAAAGTTCTGCTATAACACAGCCACAGAAAAGCTAAAATTGACAAGAACAGTTTTACACTGTTAAGATGGGGTCACGATCTGACCAGAAAACGATGTTGTCAGTCTTGTTCCTCAGCTACTCCTGGTTTAGATATACAATGTACAAATATACTAATGTATGTTTGTCTTGAGTCCCCCTGCCCTTTTTGACCCTCGCTGTAAACCATTCGACCCTAATACATTATAAAAGCATCTCTTACAGAATCCTTCTTCATAGTTCCTTTTCAGCTACTTATATACTGCATTGTTTTTCCTTATGTCTAAATAAACTATAATGCTCTTTTGAATGTACACCCCAAGCATACCTGTGCTCATTGTTTGACACTGCCCATCATTTCATGAATGAATGTCAGCTGCAAGACCATCCTCTCCCTGATATTACTTTGGAAAGCTTTGCCCAATCTGATACCATCAAACTTTTTGGACTACATTCCTCATCATCCCTAACCCCGTATTGGCAGAGTATGAGGGGAGTTGTAGACTAAATTATCTGAAGGACAGAAAATTGGGGAAGACTGCTTTGGATCAGGGACAGGCAAATGTCTTGGATTTCAATTCACAGAAGCTCCTGCCAGTATGGCCAACTGTTATGAATTTAAAATTCCAAAACATTTGGAGATTTAATAAACAGGGAGATCTGAAAATCTTGTCTCATTTCTCATTTGAACCAGAAGCCAGGAATCCAGGATTCTGGAAATCTAATACAAGGCCAACACTACTGACATTTAGTAGGCAAAATGATTTTTACTTTAAAGTAGCATTGGACTACTAGCCCAGTAGTCACAGGTGATTAGGAATTTCCCACAGGTAGTTGGGCTGGAGTGCTATGCATCTCCTTTCTGTCAAGCACAAAAACAGGTTAGCAGAGGAAAAAAGCATCTGCCTACCATGCTTACTACTGAAATGTAGCAGACTGATGGAGATGGGGCAGCACTTTCAGTCACGCCTCTATTTCTAGCCAACCCCAACTAGGTTGTTTTTTAAACTAATAAACATATTGTAGCCCAGTGTATGAGGAAGAACATGCTTTCCAAACAGCTAGTCCCAGATTCAATCCAATAGCCAGATCTGGCACCAGGCATCTTCCTATGTTCTTCATTGAGGTCAATGCTATCAATGGCATGATTATATGTTGCTATATATTGGCAGTATCAGAGGCAATATCTTTTTAATACTGGATCTTAGGGAGCATGAATGGGGGGCTGTAACTGCATTTATGTTCTGTTTATGAGCACTTGGGAACAGAATGCTGAAACTGATAGACCTTTGGTCTGATCCAGCACAGCTCTTCTTACATTCTCAAGCCTTGTGGGATTAACAAAGCTGCCTTAAGCCTAAAGTATCCTGGATGCAATTATCCTGGGCAGAGAGCCATGTGGCTAATAGGGCAAGTTAGAAATCAAATAAGTAATCTAAACAGTCATCACTACTCATACTAAATTGCCTGTGCAACATAAGTAACAACTGAGGCCAGTGCAGGTAAACCTTTTTAGGACCTTTTCATGGGACACATGAATTGCAGAAAACCCTACCAGCTTCAACACATTTTAATACATAGTTTATTTCTGCATTTCAGACAAATACTGTTTCCCAAAGAAATATTGCCATCCCTCCCCCCTGCACCAAAAGGCAAATAAATACAGGGCCTGCTATCAAGCTTATAAAATTGCTTCATAGTGAGGGGAAAATTATTATTCTCTAGGCAGGATTTTGCTGCTGCATAAAACTGACATAATTGAGAAAGTAGAATTTCATGATATTTACGTTATTCTTGTTCTTCATTTTAACGGGCATTGGAGATTCTACAGACTGTAAGACAGGAGAGAAATGCTGTTGTGTTTTAATGTGTATTTTTAATTTGATTCTATTTTAAGTGATTGTCTTTTTTAACTTTTTCCATTCTGATTTCATATCATTCTATTGTATTGTTTATTATTACTTCATGTGAATTATGGTTTGGTTAGTTTCCATTTTGGATTTTATCGCTAGCTGTTTGGTGCCTTTTTAAAGAGGGAGTATGAATGCACACAAACACAAAATGAATAGAAATGTTTTTAATTAATTGCGCCACCATCTTCTTTGCAGATCCAGGCTCAAAGCTTTTTAGCATAGAACCTACTCCAGTGCCTGATAGGTAGAACATGAAATAGACACACTTAACACCAGCCATTGCACAGAACTGCAGCTAAAGGAAAGGCCCTTTGATCACCCGGGGCCTAGAACCTACTGCTATTCAGCTCCTCCCCTTCTAGAACCACTCTCATCAAAAGCAAGGGTATAAAACAACTGAACTTTATTTTACTTGAAGTTTTTCCCCCACTGGCCCCATAACTTCTTAGATTAGAAGCCACTGTTATAAAATATTAATCTTACATATTAATATAAATATATAACTTGAATACTTTTGGCAGAAAACAGTATACAAATATGGTAAATAATTACTGAACAAGTATCAGACATATATATATTTGTCACTGTGCCACATATAAGACAAGCACTCCCTTTGTAAAAAGCCTTAACCTCCCCCCTTTATTTAGTATAATTTTGCTAGTGGCTCTTACACTTAAAATTTATGTTTTTCCAGGGGTGCTCCCCAATTCATAAACAAATCACTCAGATAAGTTTTAACTAATTCATTCTCAGTAAATCTGCATAAAATATTAGTTTTAAAGAAAAAGCCTCAGCTTCTTTTGTTAACTGTTGTGCGCATGTGTTACATCAGGCACCATCTTAGAAGCAATGGAAAAATGCCTCTTCTAAAATGGTAATTGCCATCTGCATTATATATCAATACTTATAGAAAAATAAAATGCATTGCCTAATCAAAAATGCCTTTAGTCAGTCAGAGCGCAATCCTCTGAAGTTAAGTGTAAGCCTCTAAATTCAGAGGCTCTCTTCCAGTGCCGACCAAGAGGAGTAACAAAGAACTCCGCATTTTTGCTAGACAGCCATTTTTACTGTCTAGCAACAGTGTTTCAAAAGGAGACAGAAGGAGGCTAGAGAAACCTCTGGATACCACTTATCCTGGCTGTTCTATCATTTAATTCCCCCTCCAAGGTCACTTTCCTGACCTCAGAGAGAAGTTAGTTCTTTCCACACTCTCTAAGGGTTCAGAGCTCTAATTCCCAGTTCCGAAGGCAAAGACTCTGAGCTGGGAATCTGAATTATCCTATGCCCCTTCAGCCCACACCTAGAGACCAAAGAATTCCTTTACAGGTTTTGAAATAGGAAAGCCTTTTAGTTTAGTTTTTGTATTTCCTTACGTTCCAAAACTTAAGATATAGGGTAAGTATGTCATAGCAATCCACTTGTGTAATACTGTCCTGACTGTTCTCAGTCCCCTTCACTTTTTCCACACTTCCCCCAGCATCTCTAGATTCTCCAGAAGGGTAAAACCTGACATCCTCCAAGGCTTTCCACAAACACTTTCTTTTGACATTCAGTGATCAACTCTAATCTCCCTTGGATACTTACCAGCTATTAGGGACTGAAGCAGGTCAATTCCCTATTCTATCCCTGCAACATTCTGTTTATATTGGAAACTTATGGGTCCAAGTAAAGTGTGGGGGTGGGAGAAATCATTAATTTGTAAGTTTGAACACTTCTGCTTAACTGACAGGTATTAAATAAAATTGAGAATAAACAATCTGAAAATGCCCTCAGCCTTCTCCATTCCAGCCATCTGAGTTATGAAGCAGGACCTTCCATTGTTTTTAAATAACCTACCCACAACTGGAATTAAGAGGAAGATGTTAATAGGAAGGTATTTGGATTGAAAATATTCTCAAGCTGAGGAGGAGATGCTGGGCTGCAAAGACTGTTTAGCAATAATTTCAGCAGCTGAATTCCAGGAAGAGGACAGCATTGGGAAGCAAAGAGTGTGCATGAGAGAAGCAATTCTGCTCAGGAGAGGGGGAGAGGCTGAAAAAGGTGTGTGGCCAACACTCTGCCTCTGTCCACAAATTAGGTCCGCAGCATTCTGGGAAGGGAAGGGAAGGGAAGGGAAGGGAAGGGAAGGGAAGGGAAGGGAAGGGAAGGGAAGGGAAGGGAAGGGAACTTTGCTGATGCTATTCAGTACTAGATCACACTCTCTCCCAAAAATCTACTGCAGGTATTTCTGGCAGCTTAATTTAACGGCTGTTATGCATTCTCCCTCTTGCTTACCAAGGTGAACAGGCTCCTTGAAGACACATGATTGAATAAAGCCTGCTATTTTACTTGCCCTTGCTC